AACCTTTTTTTTTTTTTTTTTTTTTAGTTTTGCCACAGGACACATGCACTCACTGGAGAGAGGCACAGAGAAAAAGAGAAAGCAAGAAATCACTCTCCATGGAGCATGACCACACCACAACAACTTCATTTTCCTCATGGAATTTTGGGCACACACACATGCCCAACATGTGTTTTTGTTTGTTAGTTTGTTTGTCTCTACTTTTCTTTCTTTCTTTTTTAGATTTTTACCCTAGGCACTTGCACTAGCCAGAGAAAGACAGAGAGAGGGAAAGTGAGAAATCACCCCCTAGAGGGGATGACCATGTGGCAATCCTTTCTCCTCTATTCTCTTCTGGGGAGTTTGGGCACACACATGTGCCCAGCATGATTTTCAAACCACTGGATCTGGGACTCAGACTAGGGTCAGCCATGTAGAAATCCAGCATCCCTACCACCATGCCACCCACTAGCCCCTAACACACCATGTTTTTCACGGTTCTGGATCTAGAGCTCAAACCACATAGTCAGCCATGAGAGATTCAGTTGCTACCTACCATTCTACCGATAGGCCCCCAATACAAGCATTTTCTATGAGCATCACAATTATATATATCATTACAGGATTAATTGTGGGGAAGGCTTCTATATTGATGCTCTTTTTCTCACATTCCCTTAACTTCATGATCCAAATAATCCAAAGACAATCCTCTAGCTTATCCTGTGACTTATCATAGCTGTCCTTGCATATCCTAAAATACTACTTTAACCGTCTAATTTCTTCCTCTAAATTTCTAGAATTTATTTAAAATATTTTTACAGCCTTTTTCTTTTTAACAGAGCATTGAGACAAAATCTTGTGTTACTCATTTTTAGGACAGTGTACTGATAAGAATGAAATGAAAGAAAGTATCACATTTAAGAAATATCCAGTACCTTCAACTCAGAAGCTTCAGGATCAAAAGAAACAGTTTGAAAAATGTGGTTTGCATGTTATGAAGGTAATTAAGGGGAGAATTTGACTCACCTTGATGTTAATTCATTTGGTTCTGTATGAGCTCTCTTGCTGATGACTCTAAGCTGCTGCTGACATCCTGAGTACGACTGGAAGGAGGGCAGGGAAGGGCAAGCACGGAGATATAGTTGTAATCTGGGGGAGAAATTATGTCAGGCCATACCAGAGTGAAGATTCAAGATTCAGGAAAGCTACCTGCCGGTCTTAGAGCAAGATAAAAGGAATAGGATAGCACTTAGTACACTGAATCATAATTGTTAACCTATTTTTTATCTCTCATTAAAGTATGAACTTTAGGGACCAGCAGTTAGCGTAATGGCTATGTCGCTGGACTCCCATGTAGTCAACTGCAGTTCGAGTCCCGGACTCAGTGGCTTAAATTCACACCGGGCGCGTGTGCATGTGTGCCCAAGATCCTGAGAGGAGAATGGAGAAGGGATTGTGGCGTGGCCATCCCCTCTGGGGAGTGATTTATCGCTTTCTGTCTCTCTGTCTCTCTCTGTCTTTTTGTCAAGCGCATGCGCCCTTAGCAAAAACCTCTCCAAAAAAAAATAATAATAATAATAATGTTAAAGTATGAACTTTAAAAGGGCAGAGATTGTACCTGTGTTGTTCAGCATTTCATTACCAGCTCCTGGCACATAGCTATTGCTCAGTAAGCTTTTTTTTTTTTTAATTTGCCCCAAGAGCATGTCCATTCATCTAAGAGAAAGGGAGAGGGGAAAGCACCCCTCGGGGATGGTCACAACACAATCTCTTCTCCATCTCTCCCTCCTTTCAGGATTTAGGCCATGTATGCACATGTGCCCAGAAACATGCCAGGTCTAGGACTGGAACCTCATGGTCAGCTATGTGGGATCCAGACTTCTTAACCATCAGGCCAAGAGCTGGCCCACTCAATAAACTTTTATTAAATGAATTTATCAAAGAAGAAGCAGGGAACTTGGAAGAGGTAGTAGTCAAACTAGAAGAGGATTAGGAGTAGGAGAGACTCTCTTACAACTTTAAATAAAAAAACAAATTGCATGCAAAGTAATATGCACATCAATGTCTTTATTTCTAGAACAGTGTGTGTGATTTAAGTAGCAGTTCTCTGGTCTTTTTCTCAGTTTTTCTTTTTCCTGGTTGTAGGTGGAGAAGATAGACAATGCAGTTCTCATGGCTGCCTTCCAAAGAAAGAAGAAAATGATGGAAGAGCAATCACATAAGGCACCTGTGAGCTGCAGATTATTCCAGCAAGTCCCACACCAGTTCTGCAATGGGATATGCAAAGTTGGCTTTCAAAGAATATACTCAGTGCCCTGCGGTAGGTGTCCACTCTACGTCATCAGGGCTACTCCATGTAGGTGGGAGTTGGCGAGCAGACATCAGCAGATGGCTTAGCACCAGTGGCATTTGCTGCTGTCAGGAGGGGACATTTGTGACTGGGATTTAGAAGTTAGGTCTTTTGAAAAGAGTCATATTTTTATTTTGTCTTCATACATTTGTGGATGACAGGTTTTATGTTGACAGAAGTATGAGCAGCAAGACCTATGGTTCTCATTTTGGTGTTTATATGTCCTATCTGTGGAGAGCACCTTGGGCTTTTTTTTTTTTTTTTCCTCTTAGTTATCTCAAAAAAATTCTTGCCAACTCCACCCAACTATTTTAGAATTAAATTTAAGAAAATTGACTTTTTTTTCTTCCATCCTCTCTATTTCCTCTTTTTTTTGGGGGGGTGGGGGGAGAGGTTTTTGCTATAGGGTGTGTGCGCTGCCAGACAGACAGAGAGAGACAGAGAGATAGAAAATGAGAAATCACCCCCCGGGGGGATGGTCACACCGCAGTCTCTTCTCCTCCATTCTCCTCTCGGGATCTTGTGCACGCACACACACGCGCATGGCGTGAGTTTTAAGCCACCGGGTTTGGGACTCAAACCATGGTCGGCTACGTGGGAGTCCAGCGACAAAGCCATTACGCTAACTGCTGGTCCTTCTATTTCCTCTTTATTTTCTGTAGCCTGCTAGTGAATGAATTAGGTATCATCTGGCAGATGAAATCGGCAATAGCTTAAGATCCTTCTCAGGCATGGGAGTTGCATGTGTAGTTTCCATGTCTCCTTTTAGCTGTAGAAAAGTATTGCACACTTCATTGCAATATATATTGCCCCCTTTACTTTTCAGTTACCAGTGAAAAATTCTGACTAGATTTTTCCAAGAGCTAAGAAATTTAGTAACAATTCTAGTAGGGCACCTAACAGTAAAGCTTGATTTTTTTATATGTGATGTATGAAATATGTGGCTCTTGATCTTTACCTTTCATAATACATAGCATGATCCCTGCTACAGTGCCAACTCCATTAATCTTGCTTTCCAGAAAGCAAAGAATAAAGAAATATTCTTTTTTTTGTTCTAGAGAGAGCATAGACAATAAAATGTTGAATTTGGGGGGTGGTAAAAATTGAACATAAATAATCACTGTGGGTAAAAACAGGCAAGTAAATCCCCCACCAAGAAATCTTTTGAATGCAACCAAGAACGTGGTAATCCTTATGGTCCTTTCGATGGAAAAGTTTTAAAAATTTAGTTTCCACTTACTCCTAAACTTGCTTCTCTGTAAACCTCACCCCCCCCCCACTTCTTAAACTACTCTCACTAAAATCATCAGATAAATTCACTAAGATCATTCCAAATCTAGTGAGTACACTCTTTGCAGTTTCGTGATAGATACTGTTAATCGCCTACCCCACATCTGTACACATCTTTCTTCCCAAAGTATCAAAAATACATACTGTCCTTCTAAAGGAGGACAGTCCCAAAATCTTGGTTGATTTAATAATTTTTACCCTCTTAATCCTGTTGTAATGGCTCAACAAGTGAATTGGGACGGGGGTGAACATATTCAAACCATAGCAAACACCAAATTCTTTAAGAGTGCACATAGGGACCTTTCCCCACAGTATTTCAGACTCATCCTGTTATTTTCCTCAAGACTATACGTGAGCTGTTTTGGGTTCTCTAAATATGCTGTATGCTTTCATGCCTGTCTGTCTTTGTGGAGTGTCTTCCCTTCTCACTGACTTTAGTGTGGCAAACTCCTATTTTTACCTTGAGATATAGTACACATGGCATATCCTGGTTGCCACCTTCCTCTGCTTCTGCAGGCCTGGTGAATTGCTTCTTCCTCTGTGTTCCTGTGCTCCCTTCATTTCTTTGTCACAACATGTAATATAACTTTTTTTGAGAGAGTGAGAGATTTTTGCTATAGGATGTGTGCACTCACTGGAGAGAGACACAGGCAGAAAGTGAGAAATCACCCCCTGGGGGAATGGCCATACCACAGTCCCTTCTCCTCCATTCTTCTCTCAGGATTTTGAGCACATACATGCACCCAGCATGAGTTTTAAACCACTGGGTCTGGGACTCAAACTGTGGTTGACTATGTGGGAGTCCAATGATGTATCCATTATACCATCTGCTGGTCCTCATCTTTACCATTTTTTACTCTTTAGAGCTGCCCTATTCAATATGGTAACCATATGTGGTTACTCAACACTTAAAATGGGGCCAATCAGATTGAGATGTGCTATAAGTAAAAAATCCATACTGGATTTTGAGGACCTACTAGAAAAAAAATAAAAAAGAATGTAACTGTCTCTCTAATGTTATATTGTTGAAATGATAACATTTTTAATCTAATAAGTTAAATAAAAATGTTAATGTCACCTATTTCATTTTACCTTTTTCTTTTTAAGGTTTTTGCAATAGGGTGAGTACCCTCACTGGAGAGGAGAGAAACAGAGAGAGACAGTAAAAGGGAAAGTGAGAAATCATGTTCAGGGGGAATGGCCACACCATAATCCATTCTCCTTCTGGGATTTTGGGCATACATGCACACACGCCCGGTGTGATTTTTTTTTTTTTTTGAGAGCTTTTTGTTATAGGGCACGTGCACTCGCCAGAGAGACACAGGAGAGACAGAGAGACAGAAAGTGAAAAATCACCCCACCCAGGGGGGTGGCCATCGAGAAGGCAATCCCTTCTCTTCCATTCTCCTCTTGGGATCTTGGGCATGCAAATGGCCATACCACAGTCCCTTCTCCTCCATTCTTCTCTCAGGATTTTGAGCACATACATGCACCCAGCATGAGTTTTAAACCACTGGGTCTGGGACTCAAACTGTGGTTGACTATGTGGGAGTCCAATGATGTATCCATTATACCATCTGCTGGTCCTCATCTTTACCATTTTTTACTCTTTAGAGCTGCCCTATTCAATATGGTAACCATATGTGGTTACTCAACACTTAAAATGGGGCCAATCAGATTGAGATGTGCTATAAGTAAAAAATCCATACTGGATTTTGAGGACCTACTAGAAAAAAAATAAAAAAGAATGTAACTGTCTCTCTAATGTTATATTGTTGAAATGATAACATTTTTAATCTAATAAGTTAAATAAAAATGTTAATGTCACCTATTTCATTTTACCTTTTTCTTTTTAAGGTTTTTGCAATAGGGTGAGTACCCTCACTGGAGAGGAGAGAAACAGAGAGAGACAGTAAAAGGGAAAGTGAGAAATCATGTTCAGGGGGAATGGCCACACCATAATCCATTCTCCTTCTGGGATTTTGGGCATACATGCACACACGCCCGGTGTGATTTTTTTTTTTTTTGAGAGCTTTTTGTTATAGGGCACGTGCACTCGCCAGAGAGACACAGGAGAGACAGAGAGACAGAAAGTGAAAAATCACCCCACCCAGGGGGGTGGCCATCGAGAAGGCAATCCCTTCTCTTCCATTCTCCTCTTGGGATCTTGGGCATGCACGCACATGTGAGTGGTGTGAGTTTAAGCCATCGAGTCTGGGACTCGAACTGCAGTCGACTACATGGGAGTCCAGCGACATAGCCATTACACCAACCCAGTGTGATTTTTAAGCCACCAGGTCCAGGACATGAACCACATCAGCCAAGTGGGAGTTGAATGTCTTAACCACTATGCCACCTCTTTTTACCTTTTTAATGTGGCTACTAAAAAGTTGAAAATTGATTAAAAAGTTAAAAAGTCTCTGTTACCAGGAGGAGAATGGAGGAGAAGGGATTGCAGAGTGGCCATTACTCTTGGGGAGTGATTTCTCACTTTCTCTCTGTCTGTTTCTCTCTGGTGAGCAGACATACCCTATGACAAAAACCTTAAAAAAATAAATTTAACAATTTTATATGTGGCTCATAGTTCATTTTGATTTTTCAGTGCTACTGTAGAACTTAAAACAGTGTTTGCTTAAGTCCTACACAAATGTAAAGAGAGGAGGAAGGGAAAGTTGGAAGAAGGGAATGAAGAAAAAGAATATATCCTTGAGAGCCAGCAGGTGGCGTGAGGGTTAACGATGCTGGACTCCCATCTGACTGACCATGGTTTGAGTCCCAGACCTGACCATGGTTTGAGTCCCAGACCTGGTGGCTTGCTTTTTTACTTTCCCTTTCTCTCTCTCTCTCTCTCTCTCTCCTCCCTCCCGTCCTCCTCTGGTCAAAATAAAATAAATAAGTTAAATTAAAAAGAAAAAAGGAATATATTCTCAAAGAAGTTTCACTCTTTTTCCCGTCAGTGAAGTTAGACAGGGCATTGAGCAGTGATTATTTGTAGTCCAGAGTTTGGCCCTCAGTGTCCTGAATGTTCTTATCAGAAAAGCTAATACAGATCATAAGCAATATGTAGAGACAGAGAAGATTTATTTTTGGTGGCTGGAATAGGACATAGCCTCCTTAGTATCATAGTCCCTAGAAGGCCTATGAGTGGATAATTGTCTGCTGAGCATGGTGCTAGATCAAAAGCATGTGACAATTCTTTAGTTTTTTTTTTTTTGTGCCCAGCCATCCTGAGATCTGTCCTTGTCCCTCACACTGCAGATTACTCTCTAGCAACCGAATTTCTGTTTCTCCCAAATCCAAGGTCGCTCTTCGTAAACAATGAAGCATGCACAGTGACATTGCATATGCTTGATATTCCCCTTATTTTTCTTCATGCCGTCTATGAGTTTGGGAGACACTCTGCCTTCCCTTATGAGATACTGTTTTCAAACTGTTTTCTTGAGAGTTTTAGAAATTGCTGTTTATAGCTTGTCAATGTTTGAAAAAAACAAGAGCTTCTCTGGGACCAGCAGATGGCATAGTGGTTATGTTGCTGGACTCCCACATGGCTGACTGTGGTTCAAGTCTCGGACATGGTGGCTTCAAACTCACACCAGGCATGTATGTGTGCATGCCCAAAATCCACAGAGGAGAGGGGAGGAGAAGGGATTGTGGCATGGCCATCCTCCTGGGGGGTGATTTCTTGCTTTCTGTCTCTCTGTTTCTCTCTGCCTCTCTGTCTCTCTGGTGAGCACATGTACCCTATAGCAAAAAAATCATTCCAAAAAAGAAAACAAGAGTTTCCCTCCACTATGCTCTTTGTCAGCTGCCTGGTTGATAATATTGACTTGAATGATGAGCTCTCTGAATCTCAAATTTTTCATCTTTTAAACATTTTTCTCCTTTATTCATGATAGAGTGCATACCCACACACATGAGGAGTGAGAGAGAGGAACACCCTCCACAGGGTCTGGTCATGACACAATCCTCTTCCTCCAGTCCTCCAGCCTGTCAGATCTTGGGCACCCACACCCATGCCTGGCCTGCTCAAGGCCAACCAGACTGGAAATTTGAAACACAGTTTCCAAGTAGGATCTGGCTTCTTTTGAGCAGGACACTACTGCTGTGCCATAGAGGTGGCTTGAATTTTTCATCTTTTAAGTGGAGATAGTATCCAAAGCACAGATTAATTGCACCTCATCAATGTAAAAATGCTTTTTTTTTTAAAAAAAAAAAAAGCCATAGACTTCTCTATAAGCTCTAATGATATATGCAAATGTAAGCTATTATTATATTGACAAAGCAGTGATAATTTGTCTCAAGGGAGTAACTTTGGGTGCCCTTACTATTGTTAGAGGGGTTCAAGACCAGAAAGAGGTGATTATTTGGAGAACTAGAGAGCAAATACATAATCATTTGCCAGATCATAATAATCTTTTGATTTTTTTCTGTTTTCAGACCCAAAATATGGAGCTGGCATATACTTCACCAAGAACCTCAAAAACCTAGCTGACAAGGTCAAGAAAACCTCCACCACAGATAGGCTGATCTACGTGTTTGAGGCGGAAGTACTTACAGGCTCCTTCTGTCAGGGTCAGCAGTCAAATATTGTCCCCCCACCACTGAATCCTGGAGCCATAGAGAATCATGACAGTGTGGTTGACAGTGTCTCCAACCCTGAAACCTTTGTTATTTTCAATAGCACGCAGGCTATACCCCAGTATTTGTGGATTTGCACCCAGGGTGATTCTCAAGATTACTCCTCAGGTCTGATCACTCTCTCTTCACAATCACCTTGGGGTCCCAAACTGTCAAGTGGCAGCTCTGTTGACTAACCTCCACATCACTTTAACAACTGGTATGGCCTTTCCTTGGGTGAACTAACCAAATAATGGCTATCACTGATGCAAAAAGTGGTTTGAATTTGTCAAATGAGTTACCCATTTGGACTGACAGTGTTATTAAGGCAACAGCCACATAGTAGAACCTTAGTGCCTTCATCTTTATATTTTGGGTTGGGGTGGGCAGATACCAATTCTTTCTCTTTGCAGTTATTCTTTCATCTTCACTATAGGTGACATCAAAAATGCTTTACATGTAATGAAGAGATTTTTCTAGTATATAACCAAAACTTTTATCTTCTAAAGTGATGATAATGTAAAATATTAAGGCAGCAGAATTATTTAGATTTTCCAGAAACCCTTATGAAGTGCTTTAGATATCAGAATAAATCATCTTTGTCTGAGTAACTGGCTCTGAAAAATTATGTGTAAATAATAAATAATTTGAAGGGAAGGCCGTGACAGGCTGATATTCTGTTTAGATTCAGCTATATCAAGCAATGCCAGGAAAGCACCATGTGGCCAAATTATTAATTCACAAAATATTTATTGATCACTAGATTTGTTTCCATCACTTTCTAGATGCTAGGGATACAATGCTGGACAAGACAAATGTCCTTATAAACAGAATAATCAGAAAGATGACTATGGACCACTTAAGGATGATTAGGTATAACAAAAGGAGAATTACAGAATCTTTGGAAAAATCAGCGAGAAAGAGGAGTAAATTTCAAGAATAGAGGGAAAGATTTCCTAAACAAAGGAAAATTCAAGCTCAGAATACAAGGGATGCAGCAAAGCAAGAGCAGAGTTGAAAGCTATTTTAGGCAGAGGGAATAGCTCATATGAAGGCCGAAGCTGCTGTGACTGTGTCCAAATTCGACTTCAGAATTCTATTTGCAATGAAAAAGCCAGCCAATCTCACCATGCATCTCTTATCTACTTTCAAATCCATATTTCTCTACATTTTTCAAGTTCTCTTGATCTCACACGCTCAAAGTCTTGCACAGAACACTGCTTCCTCCTTGTCTTACCTTAACCAGAACTTTTTCCTCTAGAAAGAAGCATGCTTATTGTCTCATATGGCACTGCCCTTGAATCTGGGCAACAGGGGCTCTGACTTGGACTCTTGGTTTGAGAAGTTTCCTGACTTGGGCCCCTTGTTTGAGAGGGCTCCATTCTGACCCCCATCCAGCCATGCTCATCCTCACAAGGTGAGGAGTCCACAGGACTAAGAGAACAGAACCATCTAGAACCTGAACTCACTCCTAAACCACATTCTAGGTACCTGGAATGCCCAAATTTCCTGTTTAAACAGCTCTTCTCTCTTGGGTTTCTCCTCCTGAGGGTGGACTATGGTGCAGTATGCATCAGAATGGCCCTGGGGGAGTGCGAGGCAGCAGGAGGCATGGTGGTTAAGGTGTTGGATTGATTCCCACATGGCCAACCATGGTTTGAGTCCCAAACGAGATGGCTTGAAGATCATGCCAGGCACATGTGTGTGAATGCCCGAAATCTCAAGAGAAGTGGAGGAAAAGGAATAGCAGCATGGCCGTCCTTGCTGGAGAATGATTTCTCACTTTCCTTCTTTGTCTCTCTCTGGCAAGTGCACATGCCATATGAAAAAAGTCTGAAGGAAAAAAAAAGTAAAAGAATGGGCAAGTGGGAAGGAAGGTTCTCTTGACACTGCTCAGGAAAAACTGGATCCTACATGGCAACTACGGTTCAAATCCTCAGTGTGCTCAGCCTAAAATAAGCTGGGCACGAGTGTGAATGCCCCGGATCTGATGGGCTGGAGACTGGAGGAAGGGATCGTGGCATGACCAGCCCTGTGGAGGGTGCTCCCCTCTTTCTCGTGTGTGTGCAGGTACTGTATCATGAATAAAGAAAAAAATACCTCTGTCTACCTTTCCCTTTCTCTTTCTCTTAAAGGAGGGGAAAAAGGAACAGCCAAGGGATGACCCCTTGACCATTTGCAGCGATAGGGCTTGTACATGGGGCTGAGGTGTACATGAGGCTCGTACTGCAAAGCTGAGGGTAGGAGGACATTTGAAATAGCTACGCTTATGTTTAACAGGAAAATTAAAGAGAATGGAAGAGAGGCGGTACCCATGTGGATAAATAAAAATAAATCTTTACTGAGGCCAGCAGGTGGTGTGGTGGTTAAAGGGCTGAACTCCCACATGGGCAACCATGGTTCGAGTCCTGGACCTGGTGGCTTGCTCTTGTGCTCTCTCTCTCTCTCTGGCCAAAATTGAAAAATAACAATTAAAGAAATAAATCCTTACCAAGAATGTAATGAAAGTAAAAACACCAAAGAAATAATCTTAAAAGCAGCCAGAGAGAACAGCCAAATCATCGACAAAGGATCAACAATTAGACTGACAGCATAGTTTTTGTTGCAGGCAGAATAATGTCTCCCTCCTACCCTGCAAAAATGTGCTTACTTTAATCCTCTGAACCTGTGAATATGTCACTTTATATGGCAAAAAGGACTCTACAGATGTAATTAAGGTTACCCTTTAGATGGGAAGATTATCTGGGATTATCCAGATGGGTCCCATCTAATCACTTAAGTCTTTAAAAGTAGTGAACATTTCCAAGCTGGGTCAAAGAGATGGCAGCATAAGGAGGATTTGATGCCGTGTGCTGGTTCTGAGTTGTAGAAGGCTATGTGCAAGGGTCAGACAGAAGCTTCTGGGAGCAAAGGGTAGCCCAGAGCTGACAACCTGCAAGGAAATAGACCTCAGTCCTCTGACTACAAGAAACTGAACTCTGCCAGCACCTAAATGACCAAGAAAACAGATTCAAAGGCCCTCAGAAAAGAATAAAGCATACTTGATTTTAGCCCAGTGAAAACCATATCTGACTTCTGATCTGCAGAACTGTGAGACAATAAATTTGTATTCTTTCAATTCACTACACTTGTGGTACTGTGTTATGGCCATAATAGAAAACGAATATGATTTTCAACATTGAAAAGCTGATGAGACTGGTAAATATTTTCTAAGTGCTGAAAGAAAAGAACTGTTAGCCTAAAATTCTATTGGGTCATCCGAAAAGTCATGATGTATTTGTCTATGCAAAAATGTGTCATGACTTTTTGACAACCCAATTAATTAATTAATTATAATTAATTAACTTATTTTGCCTTAATTTTTGGATGAAGACACTCTCAGGTCATCAATAACTGAGTTTACTGACCATAGACTCTCATTTAAGGAACTTAAAATGTAAAGGATATACTTCTGGAATGGGGACCGGAGAACAGAAATATCTAAGCTGCAAGAAGGCATGCTGAGGGCCAACAAGTGGCATGGCAGTTGAGGCACTGGACTCCCACATGGCCAACCAGGATTCGAGTCCCAGACCTGGCAGCTTGCTTTTCACTCTCTCTCTCTCCCTGTCTCTCTCTCTGGTGAGCACACGTGCCCTATAGCAAATCTAAAAATAATAAAAAGAAAAAATAAAACAAATAAAAGAGGTATGTTGAGCAAAGGAATGATAAAGGTGGCTACATTAAAACAATAACAAGAGAACAACAGATAGGAATATCTAATTTTGGTAATAAGATCAAAATAAAATACTGATAAACAAATGCTGTAAAATGGAGCAGTGATTTCAGATTGTTTTGTGTTTGTATTGTGCAAGAGGCTATTAACCAAATTAAGCAGGATAATAATTAAAGGCGTGGCCCAGAGAGTAGAGCAGCAGTAACACAACAGGGCCCACGTGGAAGGTCCTGGGTTCATGTGCTGGAGCTTCCCTCAGTACTCTGGGTGTGTGTGTGCGAGCCCGTGATCAGAACTGGCTGGGCTGGAGGTAGATTGCAGTGTGAGGATCTGGTTGGAGAGCTGTCTCTCTTTCTCTCAAAAACAAACAAACAAACAAAACCCAACTGTAAAAAGGGGGAGACAGGCCAATTATTTAGTGGTTGGGGGAGTTAGATCTTATGTGGCCGACTGCATAGCTTAAATCCTGGCCCCAGCAGCTTAAAAAACACAGCTGGCATGTGTGTGCCCCAAATCCCAACATGATGGAGAAATGGAGAAGGGATTATGGCATGACCATGCCCCAATTGGGGGCTGCTTTCTCCCTATCTCTCTGTCTCTCTCTCTGGTGAGTACACACACCCAACGGCAATTAAAAAATAAAGAAATAGGGGCCAGCAGGTGGTGTGGTGGTTAAGGTGCTGGATTCCCATATGGCTGACCACGGTTTGAGTCCTGGACCCAGCAGCTTGAAAATCATAGCAGGTGTGTGTACGTGTGTACCCGAAACACTCCTTTTTTTTTTTTCTTTCTTTCTTTCTTTTTTTTTTTTAGAGAGTTTTTTTTTTGTTTTTTTTTTTTTTTTTTTTTTTTTTTTTAAAGGTTTTTTTTTTTTTTTTTTTTTTTTTTTTTGCTATAGGGCTCATACACTTGCCAGAAAGACAGAAAGAAACAGACAGGAAGCGCGAAACCACCCCAGGGTGGGGTGGCCACGCCTCAATCCCTTCTCCTCCATTCTCCTCTCGGGATCTTAGGCATGCATGCACACGTGCCTGGCGTGAGTTTAAGCCACTGGGCCCTGGACCCAAACTGTGGTCAACTACATGGGAGTCCAGCAACATAGCCATTATGCCAACTGCTGGTCCCCGTACCCAAAATCCTAAAAGAAGAATGGAGAGGAAGGGATCACTACATGGCCATTCTCCTCCTGTGGGGGCGATTTCTGACTTTCCCTCTCTCTCTTTCTCTGTCTCTCTCTGGTGAGTGTATATGCCCTATGGCAAAATAATAATAATAAAGACAGATATTAATGAGTTAAGCAACTAATTGAAAGTCAGGAATAAAAAAAAAAAAAGAATAAATCTAAAGAATAAAAACATAAGGGCCAGGAGGTGGAGTAGTTGTTAAGGCACTGGACTCCCACATGGGCAACTGTGGGAGTCCCGGATCTGGCGGTTTGAAATTCACGTCATATGCGTGTGCACGCATGCCCGAAGTCCTGAGAGGAGACTGGAGGAGAAGAGATTGCGGCATGGCCATCCCCACGTGGGGGTGATTTATTTCTCTCCATCTCTGTCTCTCCAGTGAGCTCAATGAAAGAGGAAAAAAATACACCCAAAAAAGAAAACACATAAAGTCCATGATTATTCTTTGTAAAAAAATAAACCTGTGGTAAGACTGATCAAGAAAAAATGAGAAAATAAAGAATTTAAGGGATGGGTGTTTGAGTTAGAGCCTTTAGCAAGGTGGCTCCTGTTAGGTTTATAGCAGCTCTTCAGAAAAGGCAAAAAAGAGTTATCAGCCAGCACTCACCACAGAGAGAATGGATATACTCACCAGATAAAGAGATGTGAGAGATAGTCAACTGTCCTCCTTTGCCCTACCTTCTAGATATTAGCATTGAGGGACCAGTAG